TCGCACGGGCAGCCCGTGCGTTGGCCAATTTTTTGCATTGCATAGCTGCAAAAAACGCATAAAAAGCAGCATTTTTCAACACAGATGGAAAAGCTGTTTAGCAGCACATTTTAAGTTAACAAAGAATTAACAGCAATTCCAAGTGTTCCTACGTGTAATGCTTGGACAACAAAATGCTTCTACGAATGAAATTCAGTGGTTCTCGAACAAAATGAAATCTACCTTCCGCAGATTTGATTCTTGCGCAGGCCAGCTGACGATCGTTCACATTGATTTTGTCTCTTTTCATTGCTTTTTCCATAACAACCAACGAATCGGTGGCAACCTGATGTCCCAAACCACGGCTACCGCAATGAATCATAACACAAACTTGCCCTGAAATGAGATGCCTTCCTTTTTTCCTGATAGAGATGTTGACCACAGATGACCACCTCCCTCTAAACGCGGCGAGATAATGTAAGCACAAAACTCTTTGATAATATTTACCAATTGTTGTTTAAGCAATGCTCACAAGCATTCATAAAAAGTCAAAAACTGAAATTTAAGCCGGCGGTTACGACAAGAAAGTCAAGAAGCTTAAAATTTGGGAATACGGATCTAACTATGTGCAAGGCCTAAAATCCACAATCAAATCAAATCTTGGCTCGGATTCAGACCTCAGATCAATACTCAGGCTAGTTACGTAAGCTGAAAAGTCTCAAGATTCAGGTATAAGAATTTAATTCATCACTCGAAAGGAGTATTACTGAACTCCGACTACAAGCTGACTTTTAATTTCAGACACAAATTCAGGCGGATCTACAGTTTTATTAAACGCCTTATCTAAGAAATCGGCCTGAAGCTTGCGCAGTACAAATTATACAAAGTAAAATGCAGTACGGGCCTCAAGGGCCCTGAGGGGGAAAGGAAGAGGGTAGTAACCAGGGCCAAGAACAACAGCCCAAAGTCAGAAAATCAAAACTTTGCTGTTTTTCATATGATAAATCATCATCATGACGAGGTAAAAACCATCTTCTGTGCTTTCCGTTGCCCTTCATTTACTCATAAATTTGCAGAAATTCGTAATGAGAAAAAACGGAGCAGCTCGCTAACCATGTATTTAAATATAGAAAATAACAACGAACCCACACGATCGATGCCCATTTTACTAGCTGCATATTCGTCGTAGATTTCATCAACCACTTGTACCTCACCATAATGATTCCCGGCTCCCAATGTTCCTAACTGTAAATCACAAATGTTGCAAGTGCTTACTGATAAATTTCACAACAATGAGCTACACTACCAGCACCTCAAACATCGCAATTAACCCATTTTCCATGTAATTCTCCTTGTCTAACAGTCGAAAAACCCGGGAAGTGCTCCTGTGATATCACATACCCAATAGCAATCCAATCATTTATTAACAGAATTATTCAAAGTTACTCTTTTCGAAAACTACCCAAGAAGCAA